TTTTGACCTTTGGACCACATTTACTCCAAAACAACGGCAACAAATAAAATATTTAAAATCAATTCGTCTAAAATCGATAAATAAACGCATTAATAAGTTCGACAAAAATCGATAAGTAAACGCGAGACAATCGACCGAACCGTTTTGTTTAAAATTGGCAAAAAGAGTACAAAATTTTTCGTGACCGTTTTTGCAAAAAATCTGAACCCATTTTTCAAAAATTAAAGTTAGAAATTTATTAGTTCGAAATCATGCTGATTTTGAATAGTTTTTAGCAAAGATTGGCCGATTTTTTATGATTTGATAAAACTTTGCATGATGATAGAGATCATTTTCATAACGAAAATCTTTAATATTATGTGCCTACAAAAAATAGTTAAAATATGAAGGTTCACAAAAATTTGGAATAAAGGAATTTGTATTTTTTATCTTTAAAATTTTAAAACCTGTTTTCTTATTTATTGAGTCTATTACCACAGATCCAGCGGTTCATGCAACTTGCCCTAAGGCAAAATGCAACTTACAACTAGTTTATAATTGCATATTGGAAAGACTGTAATGAAAGTTCATATAATGTTTTTTACTTGTTTTTTCTTAAATATATGTACCTCTAATTTTGTCTTGTAAATTAATAATTAAGTTGAAACATTTCATTTATCCTAATGTATCATTCGACCTATAGTTGAAAAATTTAGTAGTATAGTAGTTCACTTTGTTTGAGAATAAAATTGAAAATAACCAGAATCTTTTTAGAATACAGTGATAAAGGCCTTGGGCTTCGAATTTTATATGGAAGTCTATGGCTTTTTTAAATCTTTTTGTTGAATAATCAAATAAATTGAATGAAATATATGATTATGATATATAATGTCATCAAAATGAGAAACATTTGTATTGAATTGAGAGCAATCTTACAAATAAAACTAACAAATCTTGCGAATCTCTATTTACTAATCGCATAATTATTAAACTAGTGGGGTGTATGGCATCGTGCCTTAAGGCAAATTGTTGGAACTTCCCGTACCGCAACGAAATGTTCGAGGAATATTGAATGTTTTCAAATAGATTTTTATAAATATTGTAACATTGTCTAATATTTATAAGCATTATATAAACTGAATTGCAAAGTTGAAATTATTTGTTTGAAGTATATTAGAACTATAGTCAGAATTAAAAATAAAATCTGAATTATTTTCGATATACAAATCAATTATTTTGTTAAGACAAGCAGAAAGTTTTTTGAATCACTTAAATCGGACGCTTAGTTCTCTCAAAAATTCGATTTCTATTTTCTGCACTCTTTGCTCTTTATCTCCGTAATTGCTGGACCTGCATTTGCCAAAAACTAATCAGCACATCTTCCTATCAATCGGAATCTTTGAATTGAATGCAGAAAATAAAACAGCTTAGAGAATAGATTTTGCCAAAGCTCATTGTATTTTTACACAAAAGCCTCTAAGATATTCATCAGGATAAAGTATGTATATATAAAAATAGCATTTAATATCTTAATTAAATTTTATTAGTATGTCACAGCATTTGCAAAAGCAAAGCTTTTATACATCTTACAAAGTAAACTCTCGTTATGAGCAACTCAAGTGTAAACGAAATGAAAGTAGTTTTTGAAGAAGTGTCGGATGAATAAGTGAATTAAATGCGATGTTTATGGATCTCTTAGAACAGATAACTAACTTGATTGGGATCTTTCTTCCTCCCTCAGAACTCATTTGTGTCTGGCCGAGAGCCAATGTCATTTAGTGTTGTGGAAAAATATGGTGAAATGGAATTTATTTTTGAACATATGTATGTGATTTAACCAATTGGTATATAAAGCACAAATGAAAGACAGTTGAAGAAAGTGCAAACGAAACTTCACTGCATGGAAATTTATATGTAACAAAATAGAAAATTTGGCACTCTTGTTGCAACAATTTCAATCCATATTTATAATAAGCTTTGATCAAATAAAAATTTAAGGCAAATAGCTGAAACTAGAAAGAAAAAATAGATTGTTGAGAATTTAGATTTTTTTCGAATTTTAAAAACATTTCAATCATTTTAATATCCCTGAAAAAATTTAAAAAATCCACTTTTTTGAAAGTTTTTTAAGATTTTTTTGAAAATGTTGAAATTTTTTGAAAAAATAGATTTTTGAAGATCTTGAAATTGTGATGCTTATCAGGATCCGTACTATCTTGAAAGATATAAATAAATAAATAAGTTTAACTTTAAACATTATAAACATTGAGAAGAGAACGCATAAAAATTGAAATAAAATTAGTACTCGTTATTAAAATATCTGTTAATTTCATGCGCATTTGTCTAATAATTTTTGATCGCCAAATTGCACTTTTTCTGTATGTCTGAAACCGCTGAACCTGTCTTCGCAAAAATTTAATCAATTCTTTATCACGACAATACAAATAAAATGTATTTTAAATCATTTAAATCGGATTGTACGTTCTATCAAAAACTTCATTGCGATTTTCTAAACTTTTTGCTCCGTATCTCCGAAACGACCGGACCAACCTTTGCGAAAACTATTCAGCACGTCTTCCTATCAAGGAATCGAATGCATGATAAGTAATTCAAACCGGTTGACCTGTGCTTCCGAAAATATGGACAAAAAATTGTATCCACACACACATACATCCAATTTTTCAAATTGTAAGGTATGGCAGAATGTTCAGAAGACCTTCAAACCTAAAGTGACCATACCTCCCGGATTGGCCGGGACAGTCCCGGATTTCCACCTTGTGTCCCGGGTTTTTCTTAAAGCAATATTTGTCCCGGATTTTAATTTTTTATCCCGGATGTCCCGCTTTTTCGAAAATTAATATGTAGTTAAATTAACAAAAATTAAGAAAACAAACTATCAGATGCAATTTTTTTCAAAATAATTATGAAGAAAATTGAATAGAACATATAGATCGAAAAATATAAGATAATATCATAGATAAAGAAGTATTGCACATAATAGTCGAAGTAAAAAGCTCTTACATAAAGTTCGCAATTATGATAAAAAAGATTTATTTAAAAAAACAGTTTTTTTATTGTATCCTTGAATAGCATTTGTTATATAAACGACTAACATACCTCCCCCCCCCCGGATTAGCATAACTGAAAATTGCCGTCCCGGATTTGACTTAAAAAAAAAATGGTCACCTTATTCAAACGTGATGATATGCAAAATTTTCATTTTCGATTTTTTTCGATTACTATGGCTTACCCTACGTAAAGTTAATAAATCATATTAAAGAGCGATAAAAAGTATCTTTTATTACGTTGACAATAACACAACTTTCGCGAAAGTACTGGTTTGCTCAAAATAATTGAAGTTCCATAAGTTAAAAGAATCAAATTTCAGGAAGCGTTTTTGAAGATTTCCATCAAAAATATGCTTTGCGATTTTAATAAAAGTCAGAACGATAATGATCTTTTGTATAACGAACAATGTTGCAAAGCTTACCGCACGCCTCTTCTTCGACTGTTATCTTGACAGAACGCACAATCATCATTATCCTCTCGCTTTTGTTCTTACATTGTTATGAACATCCACAATTAGTTTACTGTTAAGTACCAATTAAGACTTTGTATTAATTGAATAAGTGTTTGAACTTCTATATTTGAAATTAAAAGACACATTTGCGTATTAAGCTCATATTTTTGTGGAAAAAGTAATTACGTGACACAATTTAACAAATTGTCGAATGATTTAATACTATATATAGTGGTAATTCATTTTGATGAACTTATGTTTCTTATCATAAGTATCAAAATATGTTCCAAAGTAAGAACAACCCTTAAAAGACAACCATTGAGTTGCAAAATATGTTCCAAAGCAACACAAATGATAATCATCACAGAAGCTTATGTTTTGCCAAATCCTAATTTAAAAAAAATTATACTCTAAATTTAGAAGAAAAAACTATTTTAACAAAAATTCTACAGTGTTAGATAGATTTTGATATAAATTGTTTTAATATAATAATGAGTTATTTGAGAGATTTTAATTTGATAAATTTATGATAGAATTTTGATAATGAATTACACCACACAAAGAACGTTGATTAAATATCCAATATATTAATAACTCAAATATGTAGTTTTTTCTTTTCAAACTTAGTACAAGTAATAATCATTACGATGAAACAGTAAAATAATTATTAAGGTATTGAATTCATTTTACCATCTTTTCTTAAATATGCATTGGTTTCTCATTATTTTTACCTTATTATAACTTTATTTTATTTCTTTACGTTAAAACGACTTAAAATTGGTTTGACAAATTTAGTTCTGGTTCATTCAAAGATGATGAACTCTCTGATCATGCAGTTGAAGTTGATGACAAAACAATTGTCTACTATTACTCTTACCACCGAACCGAACGATCAATTCTGATGTCTCCATTAAACAACTAACAAAATTAAATAACGCAGTTGAGTTGAAGAGAAGCGGCCTAAATTGTCGGATCGAAACGGTGATTTATTCCATCATTGAGATCATATATTTTGGGCCACTCGGCAAAATTTATTGGAGAACCTGGCCTTAAACCTTCTGATTACGTTTTCAATTCAATGATTATGATGGTATCAAATTGTACCTGATTTAATTTTCTGCTAATAAAAACCAGAAGTTTTATGAGAGTAGTAGTCATAACTTAGCGACAGGTGTATCATTTTTTTGAGAATAGCATTGCATTTTTTTATTTTGATCATAAATAAAGGAATTACAATAAAAATTTGATATATTTCAAAAATAAGTATTTATTCAGAAAGAACCAAGAAACTTTGGTTGGAGTGCAGACTATTAAATATAATAGTTAATATTAAAAGGTACAAGATTCAGAGAATTGTTTTATCAATATTGTATATATTATATACAAATGACACTTTTTCAGACCTATCTTCTACTGTTAACGTTAAATCTTTAACATATCTCTGTAGCGAAAAATAATATACGATGATTTATATGACAAAACCACAATTTATTTAACTAACCTGTCCAAGATCCAGAGTCAGCGTCACCCTATGATATTTGTCACCATAACGTAACGAAGGACTCTGCCACCACCTGGCCGTGCCATCCAGGACCCTCGAAGGCGGGTGATGCTTATCAGGATCCGTACTCGACGGATCACAAATACCACATGCGGGCGCCCTTGCTTTCGGTCGCGATCTTAGGAAAAGAAATATAGCTGAATAAATTATAATATTATAGATTTATATATAAAATCTTAAAATAATAATCAGAAATATCTACGAGTTTTATTATTTAGAAAATATGTTTCTACAAATCTTAGAATACAAAAAATACGGGTTGGAGCAAGATCGCTATTGATAAAGTCGCCGCGGAATTACATTGTAAAAGTACAAACAATATAATTTCAATGTAGCAAGTTTACAAACATTTTTAAACAAACAAATTATTAGATAATGTATATCATTTATATGTATATATACGTATCAAAAATATTTCATATGAATCAGTTCTTAAGTCTATTATATATATATATATATATATATATATATATATATATATATATATATAAATATATATATAAATATATTAATATAGTAAAACTGATTTTATCAAATAAAAAATAAAATCAATTTTTATAATACCCGGTGAAATTGGATTTACCATGACAACTTAGCTTATTGTTAGAATTTTTATTGTTTTATATATGCTATACAATGCATTTGGAAAATTCATAATCTACTTTCCTACTTTTTATACACCCTTTGGGTGCATTTTATTTACCCTAAAGTAAATCCTTTACACATTCGGGCTAAAGCTCGAATTTTATTTTTGCTCTTTATTGGTGTGTCTAATTAGAATTTTGGATTTTTCTAACAAGAATTTTTAAAGTTTGTTATACAAAAACTGAAGACGGTAAGATACTATTTGATAGTTTTTTCTTCTTTCTTTTACTTTTTTTTATTAATATGACTATACCATGGGGCGCAAGAGGATCAAAATAACAGGGGTAAGTAGTAACAGAGTTTTTTAATGCGATCTTGAACAATATTAAAATATTTTTCAATCTCAATTGGACATGTAAACCGCCTTGCATAATATTTCTACTGTCACACAGGCCAATGCAGTAAACAGAATTGTGCAGGTGCGTCATTTTTGAATATAAAATTGAACTATAATAAAATTTAAGTTTGCGTTATTATTATCAGCTAATTTCAAGTTTTAAATATCTTAGTTTGTTTCAAATTTATCAATCTTTGATAATGTTTAATAATTTTTGTGATTGCTATATTGTTTAAATAGTTATATTTAGTATTTCTTTAGTAAAAGCCTAAAGATTTATTCGCTCTGAAGGGAAACTAGAGTATTTTAAGTATACGAGTATCAGAGGTATTATTATTTTTGTTGTTACTACTTGCCCCGGAAGATGTTAAACATGAGGTTAGTTCTAACGCCGCACTTTTTCTAGAGAATAATTAATTGTGCAATAATGAACAATAATTATGGAGCTACTTGATATGGTAGAGGAATAGTTAAAGCTAGCTTCATTTCATAGAAATATAATCAGTGGAGCTGAAGATATATTAATTTAGAACAGAAGTGTTACAACAAGTGCCTAACTTCCGCCTGCATATAAAAATTATTTTACTATTTCTGATTGGCAAAAATTTTTAATGGTCGATCCAATCATACCAGAAGCTATATATCTTATTGTTAGTTTATAAGGAATAGAAAGGAATTTATATATTGAGTATAGAAATGAATATTGAATATATTGAACTTATTGATAAAATTTGTTCATGCATCATTTGATCACATCGTTGCATAAATAAATCTTAATTTAAAAGTTTCTCCAATAATGTAATAAAATATGAATATATTTATATAAATAAAACAATATAAAAATAGTGTTTAAATTTGAATAGTCTGAAACAGAACTATGTTTGGGAATGATTAAGTAAAAATCATATTTTCCATATTATTAAATTATAGCTAGTATTCAAACAGAAAAATAACTAACCGATGCTGCTCTCCTAGCCTGCAATATTCCTCCTTGCCCAGGTCGCCGCATGTGGCATTGCTGGTTATTGTCGCTTTCTTTGCAACATTGAATACTCCTGGCCAGAGTCCGGCTGAACCCGTCGAACCGCCATCCAGCGGGTCAAGTCCAAGAAGGCGGGTTCCTGAAAGACAAACAATATTATATGACGAACGGTCAATGCCAAGAATAAGAGATACATATGATACAAAAAGGTATATGTAAGTATGATGGATCGATATGAACTATATTAATAATAATAATTTGAGGTAAATTTGCAAATTAAGGTTTCTTATAAAAATCTGTTACAAACTTGGTCTATTGCTTTAATGTCATATAATGTTTGTATGATATGACAGCAATCCAACATTAACAGTAATTTAAATGTTGCCCGTAATTTTAAGTAATTCGATTATATACTAAGTACCCCAATAATTTAATTGTTCCAATACACTTTCAATAGAGTATGGATAATTATAGCTAATATTCACTAGACAATTATAGATAACTTTTCGTAATTGTAATTATAGTTTGTGTCTAGTTCAATTTGTACAATTTGTTAATAGAAACGCAGCATCCTGAGAAAGCTCCTTTAAAAGCTTATTAATTACCTTTATGCATCAACAAGGGCAGATTATTGGCAAAAACATGATTCTATAAAATACTTTCATATCAGTATGGTACACTTTTATGTTAGTAGTTTGCAAATAGTAACATAAATAATAAAAAGGCATCAAAAAATTTTAGTATAAAAAATTTTTGAATGAGATAATTCATAATTATTTGTACTATTAAAAAAATACAGACAAAAAAGACACGTTGTTTTGTTTCTCTAAATCATATTTATTTATTTAATTATATTATCAATCTAAAACGTTTTTTTTATCTTAGATTCATTGATTACCAGCAACATAGTTTTTTAATTAAATAGAAACTATGACAAGACATTTAATAATATTCGACCATTTTGCCCAAATAGTACGGACAAAATTACGTAAAAAGTAAGCAGTACATAGCAACTTTTTAAGAAGACAGTTTACAAATAAATCGTTTGGTCCTCTTTGGGACATCAATACATGGGTCATTACAAATCGTACGGATTTTCGAAAAAATAAAATGTCACATTTTAGAATTGTCTGAAATTTTCTTTACAGATATTATACATAAAATCATTTGACACGTATTTCAGGATTTTGCTGAAAAAAATTTTTTTACGTAAATATTTACGATTGAAATATGGATTTTTTGCTCAATTTCTATGAACATCATCTGCGGTAAATTAATTATATCCGGATGTGCTGATCGGATCAGTATTATTATTTTTTTTATTACACTCATATTGAAGTCAACTTTGTAATGATTTAATTTTTTTTTTGTTTTTGCAATTTTTTTAATAATAACAATCCTTAAATATTTACAAAGGTTTTACTCAGCCTGACCCCAACTTGAATCGATCCAAAAAAAATGTATTTTTTCTTTTTTTCTCTGCAACAAAATTTTTTTTATATTTTGTTGGAGACTTTGTTACGTCGAAAGATATTAAATATTTTCAAGCGAGAGCCGCGCTTTTCACGTCGGGGACCTCAAAGACTTGTACTCATTTGTCACTTTTGAATGACAATCTTATTGTTTTTCGGTTGAAAAATATTTTATAATTTCGCTTCTGGCAAAAAATTAATATATAGTCGGAAAAAAATTAGGGGTGAGCGGAGGTTAAAAGTTCGTGGGTAAAAAGATCCACTGCCAATATCTCAAAACAAGTAAAGTGAGAATTTTTTTAACAACAATATTTGAATTGTATTGAATTGAATTTGAATTTATCTTATTCAGCTTCGTTGAACCATTTCGTGTACATTACTGAAGTTAATTTATAGTTCGCTTAAAAAAAATGTAATTTTTAATATTAGGTTTTTAACGTTCTTAAGTAATATGCTAACATCTTGTTAATTTGTATGAGTATTTTAATATCGAGAAAAACAATCCGATATATCGGAAGAAATTATTAATCAATTTGCATACAGATCACTCCATCAAAATGACCGGACGAAGACGCTTTCTTAACGCGTTATAATTACAGTACATCATTCACTTAATGATAGTCGAACAACTTATGTCAACTTTAATTAATCGATTTGACATGCAAATAAGCTAACACTAATTGATATAAATCTTACCACAATTATTTTGATTTGACGAGAAATAATAATTATAACTGCTATTTTTATCATAATTAATTCGTTTAAAATGTTCCACGAACATAGTTTCAAAGTTTATTCTTGACTAATTTGTCAATTAACATCAATATAATAATTTAAAATAATAAAATAAATTAAATGTGATTTAGTTCATGAAGAACATATGTAAATAGAATGATAATTTGGAATTTAGATTTGATGTTTTTAAGTCAATCGAAATTTTAGATTTATATTTCTTGATAAAGCATAAATTAATATAAAATACTTTGGCTACATGATCTTCATATAAAAAGTGATATTTTGTCATTAAAGTTTCATCATAGATATATATATATATATATATATATATATATATATATATAATTAAGTTGAAGATGTTTATTTTAACTATTTCTGTTTGAACTATTATCATATGATATGATAATATTTTTAGAAGATAATTGATTCCAAAATTTAAACGTAAAGTTAGGAGTAAACAACCCCTGATAAAAATGAATAGATTTTCGAAATAAAAAGAGTTTTATGGATTTTGCCAATTAGGTTTTGAAAAAAATAAAGAAAATTGACCTCAAAATTAAAAAAAGAATAAGAGTTAGACAACCCTTCCAACAAAATATAAATTGTATTCCGAAGTAAATTTTAAGCTTTTTCTTTAAGCTAAAAAATCTGAACTAAAATTATGTCAAAAATATACAAGGACTGAATTCAGAATAAAAAATGATTGAATTACTAAAATGGTTAAGGGTTGGAAATAAAAGTAAAAATTTAGCTTTGTATGTTTTTTTTTAATGCTACATTGTTGAAAATAAAAACGAAAAAACATTTTCAAAATTAAAACAAAAAATTCAAGGGTGAACTACACTTATCACTTAAAGTAGATAGTAGCCGATTCTCAGACCAACTGAATACGAATATAAAATTTGCAAACATGTTTTGGAAAAAAGTTATGGGTAAATGAAAACTTATATACATCTTAAAATTTTCTATCACGCAGTTATGAATTATTCTCTTAATGCATGATGAAATATTCACGGACTCCGGAGATTGAAATCTAACTTCAATTTAGCTGCAAGTATGTAGTCTAAATGAAATATAATAAAGAAAAATGACATTAATTTAATTGCAATGAACCTATATTAATGCGATCCTCATTATTTTAACTTTGATATATTTTTATATGATGATTACAGCGGTTTAACGGTATCAAATTACTGTACAGAGCACAATTTGTAGTGACCATAATTTCGAAATAATAGCAGACGGTGTATTTTGTACAATAAAACAATATCCTTTGGGCATTGTCCGTAGTTACGTTGTAAAACAAATAAACTGTAGGTGGTCTAGAGATGTTGCTAGTCATCTTGTATTACATGGAATCAATAAGGAACTCGAAGCAGCACAAAGAAAACATTGAAAAAGATGGGCAAAACTTAAATAAACTGATAATTATTGGATATCGAATTCTTCAAGATAAATTGGTTTCTTTAAATTTGCAATGTCCTTTAGAAACTCTATCCCTATACATATTTTTGTTGTCAAACATGTTGACGCTTCAGCCCTTCTATAATTACTTTTTTTTATATAATTTTATTTGAACAGCGATCAGAACTTATGGTTTTCTATGAGCTGTTGTGATTAATATCTTACAAACTACGTTTGTTTTATTACAGATGGCAACCCAAACAGTTGTCACATCTCTGTATGATAAATTTTTATTACAATCTTTGTAATAGGGCACTATAATTACTTAAAATATTTTTTTTTATCTAAAAATCTGTCTATTTGAGAAATTGGTTTGTTTATGTTACAAAAGACTATTGGAAGGCAACGTTAATTGTTATCTTTTCTATAAAAAGCATTATGAGGCTTTACCACATGCTTCACAAGTTCTTAGAGCAATTTTTTTTATTGTTTTGAACAAAAATCAGAACTTAGGCCCATAAGCTGTTGTGCTAATTTGTGTTACAACCAGTGGGTCCTACAGATGGCAACCCAAACAGTTGTCCTATCTCTGTGTTTTGAAATATCATTACAATTTTTTCTAATAGAACAAAAATTTATCGATGCAGCAATGCCAGTCGTGACACTATTTTCACTTAGAAGCATATTGCTATCAATATTTCGAAGTAAAAACCGTTCTCACTACTGCTTGACGACAGGTAGCTTGAAGCGGGATCGAACCTGAAACCTCGGATCCAAGTCAAGTCGTTCTAGCCACTTATTTGAATAATAGCTATCGAAAATTTAGAAATCATAAACTGACAATTACAGTTACTACATGACTATGGACAACATCGTGCAAATTGCTCTGGGTTTAATTATGTGTAACTACTGTTGTTCAAATGCAACTGGTTAAAGTAATATAATTTAATATTCTAACGAGAGGTTAAATATATATTACACTGACATCTTTTTTGATTTCCTGCTAACAGAAAGGAATTAATTTGACGAGTCTCAAACTGGATGCAACGTATCCGTTAGTGAATGTGAAATGAAATATAATTATATTACGACATGTCATATAACAAATCTTTTGCATATGATTAGCAATATATACAGCATACTACTATAATAATTCTTATATCATTTTCACACAAAATGGTAATGAAATTATATAATTCTGAAAATATCCATGGATCCGTGTAAGCAAAGGGCTTTTTGGATACGACTTGAAATATAAATTGAATTTTAAATTTTACGTGAAAAAAAAACTAATGTGAAAAATATAGAGTTTGATTAATTTATAATATTTTATAAATTAATTTTCAAACAATTACATAAATATATTAAATAAAAAATTGGATTCTTTGCCACTTGAACAGCTCCGGACCTTTATTTATTAAAAGTTTTAATTCAAGAAAAGACATATTTAAATGCATTTTTATGAAGAACACTAAAAAAGTAATCGAAGAAATTTGTTCAACATCTTCATGATAACGGATGCTCATTC